CTAACCCAAAACACACAAGATACCCAAAGATCAGTCCAAACTAACAGATCAGTCCAAACTAACAAACCAGTCCAAGGAGAAACAAATTGGAGATAACCCGCAATCAGCTAACCAGAAGCCAACAATTAGGGCTAGCAACCAGCAAACTTAAAGCAAGTGGAAGGCATGGGCAAGAGAAATCAACAACCTAACACTCCTAGAAGAGGATGTCGAAGCCAACATCAGGAGTCAAAACCCATAAAGCAAAAATCTATTAAGTTTCACCAAAATAAGTTCAAGATGCTTCAAAGCATCTAATTGAGCCACAAGAAGATGAAATCGCACCTCATAGACGGATGTTGGCCACAACTCGAAGAAATCTCAGATTCAAGATTTCAACTCTCTTTTATTAAAAATTTTTTGAAAAATAAAAAAATTTATCAAAGAATCACCGGTGTGTGTACTTGGTGGAGAGGTTTATTGAAGAAAACTAGTGTCTAATCATGGTATTGGTTGAGGTATAAGTTTTGAGTACTTGTAAATAGTAAACTTACTTCGAGATAGTAGATTAGGCTTTGGTGAACCCTAAAGAGGTTCTCTGCAGTTTTTTTTTTGTGAAGAGTTTTTGCATTAACAAATTGCTTGTGTAATTTGATGCACACACGAGCACTATGTGTTGAATATATTGATTGATTGAATATTCATAGTTGCTTTCTTGGGTTGGTTGCTATTTGGGTTTCTCACTATTAATTGCCATATAAGTGAGATGAGATAATTGAGCTCGAATTAGGTTAAAATTGGTATTTGTCTAAACATAATTTTAATTAACCTATTCATTCCCCCCTTCAAGTAGTGTCTAGCAATCCACATATTTCATTGTGAGGAAAGATACACATAATCTCTCCCTCAACATTATGGAAACCATTGATTGAGGGAAATAAAATGCATCTTAATTTTTGTGATGGATTACTATGTTGATCCCATGTAGTGCAACTTGTTTGCTCCATGTTTGTTGGATGGTGATTGTTGCATTATACATTAATACTAGAATAAGGGTATTTTAGTATTTTGAACTGTATGACTATATATATGTTGGTGTAGTTGTTTAACCTAATATAAAATACACTTTTCCTAATCTCTTTCTCTCTTCTTCCTCTTATTCTCTAAAACCTTAATGCCATAATAATTCAACTTGGTATTAGAGCATCGATTAGAATTTAACGATTCAAGCAATCCGATTGTTTAGAAAGCTTCAACAGTGTTTCTGTTAGGTCTGACATGCTGATGTTAGCAGCCAATCTTTGCAAAATTTTTGAAATTTTCATGGGAGACTTGAAATCTTCTTCTAAGATTTATGGTATATGGTATTTTTGTGGATTGTTTTGAAGTCGTTTGGTTTGGGGCTTCGGCTTGTGATCTGCGATTTCTAAGCCAATCCAGTGTCGTTTCTAGTTTGAAACTCCTTAGAAGGGTGCGACTAAGCATATTGTAGCATGCCCTGGTTTGTTGAGCGTTGCTTGTATTTTTGAGGTGTTTTTCTCCTTTGGGATTGTCGGCACTCCTGTTTGACACTGTTTAGGTGTCGGGAAGTCTGGTACACAGTTAGGTAGCCTTGTTTTGCCTCTGGTTTGTGTCTTTGCAATCTTCTTACTCCATTTTGGTACAATTTGTGATATTTTCTAGTGGGCTATTTCTTTGGTTGAGTTTTTTAGTGATTGTTTGCTATTTTGTGTTGCTTTTATTGAGTAAACATGTCAAAAAGGTAGTGCGACATCTACTAATGTTGGGGGAAGTACCAGAGGAAGTGAGGTGAGCCGTTTGAGTGGTATGGCAAATAACCCTTCTGTCCAAATTAGCTTAAAAAAATTGGATGGGAGCAACTACTTGGCATGGTTGAGGGTGTGTTTATTATTAGTCCAAGAGTGTCTATTATTAGTCCAAGAGATATCTTTAAACAGGTACTTGATTGGAGAGACTAAAGAAACTGAGTGAGTCTGATCCTTCCTTAAAGAAGTGGACATCTAAGAATGTTTTGATTATGTCTGGGTTGCTTAATTCAATGCAACCATCTATCAGCCGTGGTTTTTTGCTACTTGATACGACACATAAGATTTGAACTGCTACGTCTCATATGTATTCTCAACGGGACAATGATGTTCAGGCATATGATCTGCGAAAGAAAGTCCGGGAAACTAATCAGAAGGATAAGACACTTGAGTTTATTATGCAGAGTTGACCACTTTTTGGTAGGAGCTCGCCTACTATCAAAGTTTTCAGGTAGGAGTCGGAGGATTGCTATGGTTTATGTTCCTTCTTAGGAATAATTTATTTCAGTTGTTGTCTCTCAGCGTGACATGGGTTCAGTCTTGCCGAAGCCTACTGAGATGAGAGGTATTGTTCCTAAGGATACCTTAAAATATGATTATTGTGGGAAGACCAGACATATTAGAGAGTTTTGTTGAAAGTTGATTATACGTCCTAAACATGGCTGAGGTGGAGACTAGGGGGATAATGTGCGATCCCATGCACTCATGACTGACTCTTCAGATATTTCATCTCAGTCTGTTCCCTCTAATTTTTCTCAAGATGAGATGCAGACTCTTACCCGTCTGATGACCCGACTTGATGTTTCTATTGTAGCCTCTACCCCTATCTCTTCTTCCAATTTTTCCCACACAAGTATATTTGCTAGTGCATTTGCTACATCATCTTCATGTTCTTCTTGGATAATAGATTCATGAGTTATAATGTGACAACAAGGCTGCAATCGACATTGCCCACAATCCAGTTCAACATGATAGAACACAACATGTTGAAATTGACCGGAACTTTATTAAGGAGAAATTAAACAACTGTTTGATTTGCATGCCTTTTGTGAAATCAGAGAATCAGTTGGTTGATATCTTTACAAAGTGGCTTGATAACAAGGTTTTTTATCCTATTGTTTGCAAGTTGGGCGTGACAGATATCTCTGCACCAACTTGGGAGGGAGTGTTGCGTTATACATTAATACTAGAATAAGGGTAGTTTAGTATTTTGCACTGTTTGGCTATATATATGTTGGTGTAGTTGTTTAACTAATATAAGATACACTTTTCCTAATTTCTTTTTGTCTTTTTCCCTCGTGTTCTCTAAAACCTGAACACCATAATAATTCAACTTAAACAATCATCTACTCCAATTGCTTAAGCTGTTAGAGAGTGTGTAATTTTAGTATTTATACTTCAACATGTCCTCTCACGTGCAGGCTAGATTTTAAACCTAGCACGTGAAAATCTTTTAATAATTAGGGTGGCGGCGAAATTTGAGTATAGTACCTCTTGCTCTGATATCATGTTAAACAATAATTTACTCTAAAAGTTTAAGCTGTTAGAGAGTGTGTAACTTTAGTATTTATACTTCAATGCTGACAAGTATAAGGTGACTATGTTGCATAAGATGGCTAGAAAGTAAACCATTTAAGGGTTAGTATGTTACCTAGGTCATTACACTACTTTGTGTTACAGATTCTTATGAGCATTAAAGGATGAGGCCCTAGAATTAACATAACCAGTGTTATTTAAGGCGTAAAGCGAATCGAAGCGACCAAGGCTCCTAATGCCTAGGCGAGAAGTGAGAAGCGAAGCGACACGCTTTACCGAAGCAAAGTGAACAGTTAAAAAAAATATATATTTTAGTTTAATTACTTCTAAACAATCTAAGTTCTAATTTTATATATACTAAATATTTAAATACAAGTAAAATCATAAACATTTAAATTAAAACAAACACTAATAATATTTCAAATCTTAATAACAGTCATAACTTAAACATTTAAATTCAAACAAATACTAACAATTGTATACATTTTCATATTGACAGGGTAGGACAACAAAAGAAGCAGAATCAAGACAGCAACAGAATTAGCAACAAAAAAAGAAGAAGCAGAATGAGGATAAAAAAAAACAAAAGCAACACAGGACAGCAAAACCGAAACAGCAACAAAATCAACAAAAAAAAATAGAAGCAGAATGAGCTAAAAAAAAAAAACAGAAGCACAATGATCATGACAGGAGCAGAATCAATTGTAAACAATTTCATATGTAATTATATACTGAATAAAAAAAAGCAGAACAGAGACACATTTCACATGTACTAAAATAATTAAACATGGTATAAGCATAGACCATTTTTTGGTACCATTTGTATATATATAAGAAAAGGAAAAAGTATAACCAAGACATATCAGAGACACTTCTTTGTAGAAGAATCTATTATTTACCCCCATTCCTGATACTCCTGCTTCCTTTTTTTTTTTATCATAATTGTCATGCAGTCGCCTGACTCTCACATCCCACAAATATTCTAAATGAATTCAGCAACACAAGGAAAAAAAAGGAATGTGTTTTGTTCGAAACATTGTTTATTAGAAAAAAAAAAAAAAAATAGACCAGCAATAGTCTAAAAAAAAAGTCATTAGTGATTAAAAAGTAAAAGAGCCTACTAACCAGTAATCAGAAAAAAAAAAAAAAAAAAAAGTGAAGCAGAATCACCTTTTATAATAAAGCGTTCGCTTTTTCGCTTTTTTGCTTTTTCGCTTTTTCTTGTTTTTTTCTCGCTTCGCTCACGTTCGCTTCGTCTGGAGTCCTCCAGGCGAGATAAGCTCGCCTCGCTTCGCTTCTCGCCTAGGCGAGCTTTTCAAAACACTGAGCATAACCAATATGATGATGTGGAGATGGATAAGCAATGAAGAATTTTGCCTATAAAATTCTATTAAGGTTTAATAACACCAGCTTTTCTTTTTCTTATCTAGCTATCTTGGGTGCTTGTAAAGTTCTTGGTCACTTGAGATATACTGAAACTTTTTGGCCGAATAGGGAATGATTTGCCATTTTCTTTCAAAGGTTTTAGTATTAAACTTCTCGTTTGTATTCCTGTGATTTGGGAGATCTCTAATGCATAGTCATCACTAGATCATCTCACATGTTGTCTACTAAATATATGCTTCTGTGATTACTTAACTCTCTCTTTTTTTTTCCACAGATTTCGAAAGTATGGGGACTTCCAGTTTCAATACTAATGAAACTCACTATCCCCCAAGCCTCACCGTCTGAATGGAGCAGGTTCTATCAATCTGCAAACATTTTTTTATGTCCTGTTGCCCTTTTATACTCGTGCAAATCATTCATTCCTTTAATCATCCAATCATTTTTCTCCTTCCAAACACCCATGTTCCTTTCTGGATTGTAGTACTCTTTGGAAGCTTCTCTCTAGCAATTCTTCACTTCATAGTTGTAAAAGAGCCCCCGAAAACTGAGGAATTGCCAGTAGTGCTTGCAGCCTTTGTGATGAGTGTATTTTGGATCTCCAATGTGGCTGGGGATCTCCTGAATTGTCTTGCTGCTCTTGGAGCACTTCTCAAATTGCCCCCTGCACTCCTTGGGTTGACAGTACTTGCATGGGGAAATTCGGTAGGTGATCTAGTTGCTGATGTGGCAGTCGCAAAAGCAGGCCAACCTGCCATGGCCATGGCTGGATGCTTTGCTTGTCCTATGTTTAACATGCTTTTGGGGCTTGGAACAGCTTTGGTGATACAGACAGCTAAGGTTTATCCAGAAGCTTATGAGCTCCGTCTCCACGTGAGTATTGTGATTGCATTTGTGTTCTTGCTTTTGAGCCTGATGGGGTCTCTGTTAGTTGTAACTTGGTACAGGTTCCGGGTGCCAAGATTCTGGGGATTCTGTCTTGTTGGTCTCTATATCATTTTTATGGCAGTGAGCCTAGTTGTGGCAAAGTTCACAGTAGTGTAATTGGAAGGGAATGGTGGTGCTGCCAAAAATCCTCATACAATGATATGAGAGCTGTTTTGAGTAAATTTCTTAGTTCCCAAGCTAAGCCTGCCCCAGCTAGAGAACTTTTCAATCCAATCATTGCTAAATGAATTATGGCAACCCCATGGGATCTTACGCAGCAATTGGGTTTACATCGGTCCAGTGAGTACTAACATTGTCACCTGGAGACGGAATGCTTTGAAATCGGCTGTTCATTGTAAAAGATTCAGTATCATTAATTTTCCAATCTTTAAGTTACAAGATCAGACTGATATCGCAGAAATTTTATCCTAATTTTTCTCGTCCAAAATTATTATTATTATTATTTTTGGTGGTTTTTCAGCTAGTTGGCTGAAAAGTTAATCTAAGTTTCTATGAACAGTTTGTTTGGTTATATCAGACGAATGCACTTCATAAATATCCCAGTTATTGTAGTGAAATGCACATACAACATTATTGTATTTTGCTTGGGCTGTACTGTAGTCTTAATGACAAGTTTAAATTTTCCCCTGGTTTGTGTTCCATCATTCTGTCGTGTTTTCATGAATTCTAGAGGGGTTTCTTGGTAGAGTTTGCTGATCACTATTTAGATTGGCCTCGCTGCATTTTTAGTCTTATAGGATATGTTTTGGGCCACTTTGGTTCTCATTCTTCGTGTTATGTCTGTTTGGTACAAGAAGTTTTTAATTTGCGCTCCCAGTCGATGATGGTCTTCAAAATAAGTAATGAAAATTGTTGATGGTCTTTAAAATTGGTAACGAAAAAATGTCGCGTGGCATTTGATTAGCAGTACAAGGCTTGAAGCTGGAATTTGAGCATTGAATGTAGAAGATTTTTTGATTATTTTCTTTGCCGAGCCCTTTGTCATCCTTAGGTTGTAAATGTATTTTTGATTCTTAAAGTATCTTACTAACGTCTTTTTGGCCCCTCCATTATTAGCAGTCAAGTACAGTAAGTTTTCAGTTTGAATTTAGATAGTCCTACTTAAGACTAGCAATTGAGATCCACATGTAGCATGTGCGGCAATTTTTGTTGGCAACTTAAAAAACCGTTTAAACTCAAATTCAAAAATGAGTTTGTACATATGTTAGGGCCTAAAAATGCGCACTCGTAATGGAAATGTCCATCATTGGCTGGAACATTTAAATGCAAATCGAAAAATTTAGAACAAAGGTGAAATTTTATATACTAAATTGATGTGGATGGTCCTATCAAAAGGTCTCATTAGAAAAAATTTAATGAGACTTATTGATCCAACTCTTCACATTGTTGATGAAATTTTCTAATCTAATTATCCACAATGATTTTAGATGTAAAATTTGAGAAATATTTTGTGATTTACATCATTAATGGTGCCAAAAGACCAAGTTCACTAGCAGTATGGCTTGTCCTTTTTTTCTAATTTTTGGTGGTCAACTTTAAGTTTTGTCACTAAACCATGTGTTGAATATTCCTTGTAGAGGATTGAATTGTATTGGTGTTATAGAGATAAGTCTAGACTTTTAGTGGATGTGGGTGTGAAATAGTTAGTTAGGATGTAGGAGTTAATATGTATATAGTTGGGTAAAATTTGGAGCTTGGCAAAAAGGAACTCGGTAAGAAGAGCTCGGATTGGTGATCAGCTCTACATGAAAAACGTTATCCAGCCTAGCTTATCTTGCCAGAGTTCCACACAGACTAGAAGTCTAAGACATCTCAAATTTAGAAGGAAAAGGACCTAACTTGGAGTCTTCAACAAATTAGAAGTTCAGACATATATAACTCTAGAAAAAAAAGGGATAACAAGATAAGGGTCAATCATCCAATCGGATCCCAATTGAATAATTATCAGCTCATATTCCAACCTATAAGTAAAGGGTGAGCTCAGCCTAGTAGGTAAGACAACAAACTCAACTCAATTTAAATTTCTTTCACATTTTCTTTGTCTCACTTAAGCATTGGAGAATCGACCCTAAAGCCCTTTCTAATCTTCAACTTTCTTTTTATGTGAAGTTCGTCCCAGCAGCAACATCAAGGAGATTGTATTTTGGCATCAACAATTGGAGCTGTTTGTGGGAGTGCTTGATGTGATTCACCCTAATCTCCAAACATGATCCAGATTGTGTGTATATGGCTTATACAAGTAGGTGAGTGTCACTCTTCCTCGGGCTCAATGCAAGAAATGAGAAAAATCGTGTGTGTGAACAAAAATGTGTGCACAAAAATACTCACCAAACGAAGGGAGACTTGCAATGTCCTGTTTTACTTGGAATTAAGTATTCTAAGGTTGTCTCCCAGGGAAGGTAGGTCAAATTGTTGTTAAGGGTGATTTTTAAAGAAATAAAAATGAGCAAATCTTTTGAATTGTGTTTTGGTGAGTTGTGTTTTTGGTAAAAATGCAATAAAACAAGGTTGGCTACGATGAACAGTGAAAATTAGCATTTTACTACGCTTTTACAAGAGTAATTATGCTTTGATAGAATTTAAATGATGACTTTTCAGGGGAAAGTTGTACAAAGGCCTAAAAGTCAATATTATCACACTTTCATGCAACACCCACGTGTTCTAGAAGAGGATGGGAGAAGGAGGAAGCAAAGCATCCTCGTTCGAACGCCAATCCACGTTTGAATGTCATCTTGAAATAATTGAGGACCCCAGAAGCTTACTAGGGTGATGCCACGTGGCATGTTGCAGCTCTTCACTATGGAGGACAAAAGCCACTTGAGTATTACGTTTAAACTCTAGTCAGCGTTCGAACGCCCATCAAAGAAGACAGGCTTCCACGTTCGAACGCCAACAACGTTCGAATGCAAATGAACATGTATAAATCATTTGGAAGTTATATTTGTGCATTTTATTTATGTTTAATGCTTTATCTTTTGATTGCTTATTGAATGATTGAATGTATCTAGCAAAGCTAAGGTACTTTGTACAATCATGAGTTTTTTCTAAGACAAGATGACTCTTGGCATAAGAGGATTAATTGGTTATTTACAAGTTCTCCAGCTAGATCTTCATGACTACATTTTAATCTTCACAATGATTGTGCTTTAACTAAGAATGGAATACTATCACAGTGGTTGGATGACTAGTAGAATTATTTGCTTATTTGTAGACGGGTTGAGTCCCGGCATTGACAATTCTTTTTTAATCTCTACAAAGATATTAGAACTATGTTCTTAATTCCCATAGTCCATCTTTATCCTCCAATTAACATGCTGTTGACATAGGGGTTAATTGAATTCTTAAGTACAAATATAACAACCACATGATAGACTACATGTTCAGATTCTCGAGTTAAAAAGGTGACTATTTCATTTGAGAGGATCTTATATTCTGTCCAAACATCATAACTTCAAATCTCAAGGGTTTTAGTCACTTTGGTCTCTGTCACTATTTACTCCAAAACACCAACAATAGTTCCCTAAGGATTCGACTTCAGACTTAATCAGATTATAACTACAACTTGACCGCTTGCACTTGGGTGTACACATTTCAGATCAAGTCAGGTTACTCGATAGAGGTCATTCCAATGGGAATGCCAAATCAACTCAATTCATTCAACCAATGGTGTCTCGGTGTTTGATTGATTCGTAGAAAGTGAGGGAGTAATGTGGAGGTGTAGGCACAAGCATACCCCATGATAAGTTTATAGTGTATCAAGAGCTCACAACAACTTCCGCACTCAACGTAGTCAAACCAAACACTTTACACTACGAGGAAGAATGAGAGGGAGTTGATTTCACATACCCAAGAGGAAATTTCCCTTGGATTAGCCAACTAAAAGTTTAGCTACTCATGATCAAAGCTAGAACAATCACAGTGTAAAGAGACATGATAGTGAAATGAAGCATTAAGCTTGTATTGATGCAAGAAGAGGTTAAACTAAAAAACCAAACTCAGTTCATACCCAAAATACAAAGCTTGGAAAGAAAAGCCAAATGTAGAAACAAAAATACATGCACATTAAGCTAGACTTGGTTACAACTTGAAATAAATGAGATTAAAGTGTAAGATGTGAAGATTACAAGTAGAATAAAGCTTACTACAATACAAATGGTGAAGGAATTGCAAAAACCTAACTTTCTCTCTCTAAAACTTCATCTTCTTCCTTGGACCTTCTCTCTCTAAAAGCTTGTGTATAACTGAATAATGGTGAATAGCCCCGTCCAAATTTGTCCATCCCTTTTCCATGGTATATGAGAACTAACTTTTGATGAGTGAGAAGAGATTGGACACTTCAAAAAGTAAGGACAAACCAAGCATGCACCTCTCATGCCTCATCAACCACCTCTCTTCTCTCTCATACCTCTCCCATGCTTTTCTCTTCTAAAACTAGACTTTAAGGTGTAAGAGACCATCATGGTGTGTCAAAGATGTCAGGGTATGATTGAGATGACATGAGGTGGCCCCCCTAAGTAGGTGGAGTCATGTTTGCAGGCTTCTAGCATTTATGGGTAAAACCTACTGGTAGAACGACAAACCTACCAGTAGGTTTGTGGCAGGGGTTGCAGTAGAAGAATTCCAGTGCACTTTTCCTATCAATAGGTTTTGAAACTTCTATCAGTTGGTTTCTGCTGACTTCTACCAATAGGTTTTCTTATGTTTTGGAATTTTCTTGGTCTCTTGATGTCTCGAGCCATCCGTTAAGCCTTCCCCCTCTTCTCCATTGCATTTAAGCACTTGATGAGAGGCTTAATACATGCCATCACCTACTCTTTCCCTACAATCACATGAATCTCCATTAAATGTGAGTTTAAAAGCATTTTCTCCAATGTTCACCACAAAATCAAGCATAAATGGGTGCAAATGAGATACATGACATGAAATATTCTATGCTCATCAGGGAGCGATTATAGTTTCCTAAACTTTCTCAACCATGTCCATCACTAGATGAAAAGATTATGCTGAAAACTAGATCCCCCATAGGGAGATCGCAATAGTCCTCGATTGCCTGATGAGCAAAACACTGGGATAAAACATTTTTGTGGAAAAAGAAGGGTGTGTAACCAACATTGGAGCATTCTGCGGAGGAACTGGTTCCCTAAAACCTGCAGATTCTACAACTGCTCACCACCCAACAGCAACAACGTGCCACACCTACTCACTCCTTGGAATGCTATGGAGATAATAATGTGATGCCCCAAGATCCACCTTAGATGAAATTAACTATTTATGCGACAATCAACTATAAGAGCAGCTAAAATAAAAAAAGGAGAGCATCTAAAATATTCGATAACTTATAGAATTAATTCATCCATCAAATGAAGACTAAGCCAAAGCCAAATTTCAAATCCAACATAATAAATTTATTAGAGTTACAACCATCAACTCTTGGATCCACATCATGATCTGCATTAGTGGCAGACAACTCTTATTAAACAAATCTTTTCGGCTTATACAAATCACATGGTTACCATACTACTGACAACCATTTCTTTTTATGAAACAGTTATGAACAACTCACAAGGATAGTAATTTTATAGACAATATTTCATGTAAATAGGCTGATTAAACAAGAATTCACAA